ATATATATATATACCGCCTAACCAACCTATTATGATTATTATTACCATTTTTATTAATATTTCTATACTTCATTGACCATCATTGGGCTTAATTTTCAATCAGCTGCCGGACTTTTAGTCTACTCTGGCGATTTACAATACACTGCTTTCAAGATGCCTCTCGCTCATCATTTTCCAGTTTACACAAAACTAAAGAGCACTTGAATACAGTTGTTTTCTACTGAATGTATTTTATCCCCCGGGGCGCTAAGTTTAATAACCTGGCCGACGTAATTTGATTGGCAAAGCGCAGATAAAAGCTATGAACTAAATATATTTAATTTCTTCGTGATATTGAACTGTTAGGCTTCAAGACACGAAAAATGCCCTTCTTTTATGATGTATGGTGTTTTACATGCAAACACCGCCTTCTTACTAATACTTGAAATGTTTGTCTCTRATTTTTAAAATATGTTGAAACATTTTTATAGACGTTTTGATCCTTGATCTTTTTTCTAAAAGTAACAATTGAAATGATTTTGCTTATAACTCAAATCTGAGAAATAAATAAGCCTAAATAAATTCAACACAATGAGAAGTTCAATTCATGCCAAGGACAGACCTTCTTCAAATAGTCTATCTTATAGAGGAACTAAATTATGGAAATCTATTCCTTCACAAGTTCAAACATTTCAAGGAATGTTCCGGAAAAGAACCTCTTTTAATGGCACCAAGATGACTAATTTTAAGTGATTCCTTTCTAACTTCTACCTACTACTTAAGACTGTTTTAAAATTCTGTTAACCTTTTATCGTATTTTTTGTAAAAACGATTTATATATGCATAAGACTTTCATATACAGAAGTGTTCTATAAACTTATGGAACCARTATATCGTACTTTTAAAGTGCTACTCTGACAAAAATCGCTGGATTCAGCTGAAACTTCCTAAGAATACTCTTTAAAGGTCCAATAAATCACTGTATGAAGTGTTTTCTCGATATTCAGGACGAAACTATGATAATTTTACGATTATTTTTTTGGAGTCTGTGACGTCATACACTCAACATGAAACATTGCTACATATATTTCTTTGTATATAAATCCTTAATTTACTTTATTCCTATGAAGCCCAAAGGGTGGCTAATGTGCTTATTTCACATTACYTGTGACTATAATTTATATTTTGGGATGTTTGGGTATTTCTTTCTCCCTTTACTACTGATATTTTGATCATGAACTACAAAGAAATGTATGGAGCGAATGTTATTTTCGTSAGAGTAGCACTTTAAAAAGTAAATTAAAGATCCTATCTATTTATTTATCCATCCGCCACTAGAAGCTCGCGAAAGTGTAAATCTTAGGGCTACTTATATGCTAAATCAGTTCTCAGTTCACATCAAGAATTTCTCGCGCTAACATCTTACAAAAATAATAAGCTATCAAGCAACAGTTAGATTAATGTTCATGACATAAAATGTACAACAACTGAGAATGATTGATCAAACTGTTGGTGAAATAGGCTTCGGGCTGCAAATTTAAGATCAAGCCATTGGCTTATTACTTTTGCCAAGTAATAAAACTAATTTAAGAATACATTGCGATTTGTACGATAAAGCTAGAACACAAGAGATCATTCGAGTTATAATCTAATCTTCACTTCAACGTTGGAAAAGCAAATGAATAATATAGTCACGATCMAAAAAACTTAAATTCCGTACTTTTCAATTTACAGTAACAGACATGACGGCACTGACAATAC